CGGGACCCCCCGGGTAACGATAATACCCATATAAAAGAACAGATTATGCTGGACCTGGCTGCCCACGCGGGCTGGCACCAGGAGGTCCTGTGCGCGTTGGAGTGGGTGAAGCTCGCCCTGTAGGCGGCTGGAACTTGGGAGGACTGCGGCGGAAGGTTGGGAGTTTTGATTAGTAGTTAGGTATGGAGCGCAATATACCCAGTTTTCCCCAATACGTAATACACGGTACGGCCCCGGCGGATTGCTCCGTCGGGGGGAGTAAATTAGTTATAAATTTTAATATAATAGTAATTACTTTTTTAATATAATAAAACCTCTTTTAAATAGGTTTTTTAAAAAAATAATATACGATTAGGATTTTTAAAATAGGCTTTATACTAATTTAAATAATTTTAATTACGGTATAATTAATACCCCTAAGGTACTAACTTTTTAAAAGTCCGGTTCTTATTTATTTAGCTTAGGGTTTACTAATTAGGATTTAAGAATTTATAACCCCTGCAATTATAATTATTATATTTTAATTAATTTTATATATTTTAAAAAAACGAAAGGAAGAATTAAAAGCTTTAAATAAGGGCTTATTACCCTTAAAGAGTTATTTTTATTATTTTAATCTTTAAAAATACTAAAGAATATTTAGGGATCTTTAATAAGTAATAATCTTATTCGGACTTTATAAATAATTAAATTAATAAAGGTTACTAACTAGCGTTTAGATACTATTATTAATAATTAATTTATATACTTAATTAATACTCCTAAGATTTATTAAGTTACGTAGTCCTTATTAAATATATTATTATTTAAATTATTATTATACCTTAGTCCGGCTCTTAATAAAGCTAGTCTAAGTAATTAAGAAAGTAGTTTTTTAAATATTTTAATTAGGGATAAGAGTAGCCCTACTACGAGGATTTTAATTAAAGTACTAAGGGTTTAGTTAAGGTAAGAAGTTATTAAACATACGTTCTTTAAGTATAATTAAGCTATATAAGAGAATAATAAACGTTAATATTAAGAACTAGCTAAGTTTTATTAGGACTTTTTATAATATTATAATATATATAAAAGTAAAGTTAATATTAATAAGAGTATAAGGGAATAATAAGTCGATTAGTACGACGACTTAATTATAAAAGTTATATATATAACTCTAGCTTATATTTTTTAAATATTATTATTAATAAAAAAAGTTAAGAAGAACTAGGGTAGTAAAGGTTAGGATTAGGAAATTATTAAAGAGGAATAGGATAAGAACTAAGTAAAGCTAATAAAAAAAGTAAAAAAAGTAAAGAAAGTAGCTATAAAAAAGAAAAGTAAGTAAAAGGCTTAATATAATTAACTATATATAATAATTTAAATTAATTTAAAATAATTTCTTTTTATAAAAAATTAGGGAAGAAGAAATTAGGGGACGATTAGAATAGGGTAGGGTAATTAGTCCTAGTAGTTCTTTTTATAATTAATTAAGTATAAGTATTTATAAAAGGGTTAATTAGAATAAAATATAAAAAAAAGGCCCTAATTAAAAATAAGGAGTTAAATAGTACGGATTTTTATTTTAATTATATATATACTTTTTCAAAATTAAACTAAAGCCTTTTTAATAATTTATTTTTAAATATAATAATATAAAACGATTAAGAAGTCTACTTTTTTAATTTAGTTAATACTATCCTCCTCTTTTAATTATAACTCCGTTAATTAAGGCCGTATTAACCTAATTAAAGGAGGTATTTTATATTACTTTTATAAGTATTAGTAGTTTTTTTAAAATACCGTACTACGAGAGTCCTCTATACCCTATACGTTTTTTACTAAGTTAAAAAAGGTCTTTATAATAAATAACTTATTAATATTTAATAATAAGATTTTTATAATTAAAAGGGAAACCGTTATTTTTTAATAAAAGAGGTAGAATAAGAAAATTATTTTTATTAATTTAAACGTAATTAATATTAAAAAGTAATATAAGGCTAAGCTTATATAAGGGGTATATATTATAAGTATATACTAGCTTAAGGTGACTTTTAACTATACTAAAGTAGTATAAGCTATAGATCTAAATAAACGAGATATTAAGGTATTTAATAAGTAGTTTAAGTAATAATAAACGAATCTCGATCGAGGCCTCGTTTATTATCTAATCGAATTTATTATTAATAAGCTTTACGTTTTTATTAATAAGTTATTTATAAATAATAATAACTTTATTTTATAATTAGAATATATTATTATCTTAGTTAATAAGAGTATAGGTAAGAGCGAATTTAATATATATAGTAATATAATTTATTATTTATTAACTAAAAGTAAGTAGGTAATAAGAAGTATATTAGCGTTAAAAGTTTATAGTATAGTTAATAGCGTTAACCTTATTTATATAATTTTAATAATATTAAGGAGGATTATTAATTAATTTAATTTTTTACTAATCCTTACGGTTATTTATATTAATTTTTATTTATTATACGAATATTTTATTAAATTAAGAATAACGAAGGAAAAGAGGTTTATAATTAATATTATAGTTTTTAAATAATTATATAAAAAGCGCAAGATCCTCGAGATTTATTAAATTAATAATAATAATAACTTTATTAATACTTTTATAAAAGTAGTACTTAATAAGGGGTTAGAGTAATTTGTAAGTAGTAAAAAAGTTAATATATAAATAAAAAAATAAGTTATATAAAAAGAGTAAAAAAAAGGGAGAAAAGGAGACGACTTAATAAACGGGCTTAAGGTCGAATTATATTTCTAATTATAATAAATAAATTAATAAAAAAAAGAGAAAGTTAGTATTAAATTAGAAATTTAATTTAACTATAGTATATAGCTAATTATATAGGGGCTAATTAGGGGCCCTATTTATAATTACTATAGCTAGCTTAACCTATAATTAGAACCTCTTTTTTATATTTATATAAAAATTTATATAGTTTAATTAACCTCTTCGTTACTTACGGTTCGAACTAACTACCTTATTATAGGGATATTAATATTAGTAGTTAAACGTATAGAAAAGTGATAATGTTATAGTAGCTATGGTAACTTCCCTAGTTTTGTACTGCATCGGGATTTCTAAATTACTATTTTGAGTTGAGCGCGAGCTTGAAGCACAACGTGGACATCGTGTAATTAGACTATTTTCCGTACCTGATGAGTCGTTTTCCTTGATAGCCAGACCCTGTCGTTTAGAACAGTCTTATGGGTTTATAAACCCGGAATAAACCCACTAGACCACGTTGTACCAACCATGACTTCTCTATCTACGTCCCAACGTGACTAGGAAGTCTTCCTAAGTAGGTGGGCTGTATCTGTGTGCTCTTGTTAGCCGGCTTTGGCTAGTATATGCGAGTCAGGGTCGCTGATGTTGGTGCAAAAACCCTTCCCAATGTGTCGGGAGCAAAAGGGGCTTCGAGACTCATCGCGTCTCGGGGTTACCACAAATCCGGATTCAATTCCCTTGAAAGGTTGGCCATCTCCTACTATCACACCGGGTGCAAGTGGACTATAGCAAATTCATCTCTAGTTTTTCCTAACTCATGCCTTGGTTGACTTCATGCTTCGCAGGAACAACTGAACTAGGATCGAATCGTCATACTTATCAACCAACTCCAATATGGCATCGACATGAGTACATCTACTTTCACAAGGATTATTTACCTCATAGTCGAGCATGAACAATCTTGAAAAAGAGCCTAACTAGAGAAATATTCAAGGCGGATGTGCCAAAGCTGCCAAGCAAGTGATGGGATATCATTCGCCAGTAAAAGTACTTTCGCAAACGCGGACTGTTCAACTTGAACCCGATGGGAAACTACTCGCCCTTCGGCGTTGTCGTGATGACCGGCTTCATAATGTCGCACTTACTGACGATCCGATGGTCTTGTCGTCCGACGTAACAGTAAGTTGCCTATGGTCATCTTTTGATAAGCCTCTTTGCGTAATTGCGAACTCATAGGTGATGACAAAGAAGCTAACTCTCTTCAACAAGCTCTTGATCTCAACCTTCACCAAACAAATTGACGAATCCGGTTTCAATCCGCGACGCCATGTTCCGAGCATCTACCTATTACAGAGCTACCGATTTCTACCTACACGGCGACTAGGAAGATCCTCGCGTACTATCTTCTTGCGACAAGCAGACGTCGTGTCTTGACCAGGCGAACTCTCGGTTGCCTATTCCTGGTTATAGGCGCGTGGTCAAGGAACCGAGCTTCGACATACCCGTCATCTTCTTCCCGGCATGTAGGTCTGCCGACAAGAAGTTGCCGACCATCGTCCTGGGTAATGAAACGATGGCTCAATAGAAGAAATGCACCACCAGTATGGCGCCGGAATTCTAGAGCGTGGTTGGAATGTGCTATGCTACGACGGCCCAGGACAGATCTGTGCACGCCGTTATCAAAGAATCGGTTTCACCCACGAGTGGGAAACAGTCGTCTCCCCTGTTCTGGACTTCCTGGAGACTCTACCAATCGTCAATATGAAGTAGGTTGGGATTGTCGGAAACTCGATGGCAGAATTACTTGCCGCCCGCGCTGCTGCTTTCGCCCACCGCATTGCTGCGGTATCTAGTATCGATGGATTATACAATCTTATGGGTATCCCCGTCTTGGATGCCGAGAAGGGCCTGGCTCGATACTCGGGAGTCCAGGACTTTGCTGCAGCAGAGAAAGTCTTCACGGACCCGGGTGTCCCAACGACAGCTCGCTGGCCCCTGTCTCATGGTTTATGGGCTTTCAAAGTTCGAACCGCGGCAGAGTACCTGGACAATGCTTCATATTTCAGCTTGAAAGGTATAGGCGACAAAATTTAGTGTCCTGTATTTTGTTGCTGATGCCGCGGACGATCACCTTTTCAAAGGACAACCTGAGGCAATGCGGGATGCTTGGGTTGACAAAGCCCACTAGGTTGTAACCACGGTAGACGACGCGGTAGGCGACCATTGCCATGTGGGTGCTGCAAGGTATACTAAGTAGGTCAGGTTTGACTGATTTGAGCAGAAGATCATCAAGAACTAGGTCAAGATGGGCTTTCATTAGCCCTATGGCGAAGAGTTATCGACTGTCAGCCTAGCCAAAATGCAGACGAGGCGACGTCTCTGAGTCCCTTTGACAGGGAATTCTGTCAATGTTGTTTGGTTTCTTTCCTGGTAGCTTTAACCTCGTTGGCTGCAACACGGAGATTTTCATGTTAGGTGGTAATCGCACGGTTCATATGCGGTGATGCATTTCTTGAGATCTGTTAGATTCATGGTCCGGACCCCCCCCCCCCCTCCCCAGGCCCCCAAAACCCTTTCCTTGGAACTAAGGACCTTCCCACCTATTGGTCAGAAAGACTAGAAGTGAGTCTATACAATCGCTTTTTTTCGAAGAAATGTACTTGATTTTCGATTCCAATGCATTTGGCAGCAAAACGCAAAGATGAGCTGAGCTTCTGACTGCCTACTAGAGTCCTACCCACCTCGGGTATGGAGATCAAATGTGCTGTATAAAAGTTCCAGATGTATCAGACCAGCCTCTGGGTGTCTCTATTCCACAGCACCATCAAGGTCATTCTTCATTCTAGCCCTTGCTATAAAGGTGCGACATAAAACCCCGTGTGTGGCCCCCCAGCCCGCTGAAGCTAACTAACGATGCCCTCAAAATCACTCACGATACTTTGAGAAAAACCCGGTATCAAAACACTTGACTCACATATTTATTCTTCCTCTGGGGCGAAACGGTCAAAAAAGAAGTTTCAGGCCACACGGCTAACTTTCACCCTATGGAAATTCTTCATTTACCTTGACGGCTTTCGAACATGAAGGTACTGCGGTATACAGTTGCGGTCTAAGCCGGCTGTTACGATCTAAGGGTACATACATCGTCGGCTGCTATCTCCGATATCAAGGACTTGAAGGACCTTGACTGCCACAATGCCTCAACCAAATCACTTCAAAACTTTCTTCCTCCTAGAATTGGGAATAAAAGCCAGCCCATCCCCTGCTTCTTTTTCCTTTCCTTCTGCAGGCTCACCTCAAGCAAACACAATCCACTCTCTACTCCTTCATCTCATTCTCAGTTGGCTACTGCGGCGATTCACTCACTTTCCACTTCCGCCTATCTCATCTCATATCTCTGGCTCCTATACAAAAAGACCCGAGATTGTCTTAGCTGCGGCTCTTTTCTCTTTACAACCCACCTTAACTTCTATTGCCATAATCAACATGCCTTCCATCGGAGCTACTATTTCCTCTGCTTCAAGGGCTCAGGGGGACACAACAACCACTCTCCGTCGCATGCCGCTTAACAATGTCCCTGTTTTCAACGAAGACAGCGCTATTCATCATGAGCAGCAGCCTTTCAGTAGCGATGACTTCACTATCTTTTGTGATGACGGAGACAGCGGCGCTTCTGTGGACCAACGATCTACCAGTAGTGGAGGCTTCGCCATCTTCGGTGATGATGAAGACAACACTCTGTCTGAGGAGCAACAACCTTTCAGCAACGATGACTTTACCATCTTCTGTGATGAGTCTGAAGAGAAATTCCGTCCAGCCAATGGGGACATCAACATCGGCTTCGAAGATGGATCGAGGTACACAATCCCAGAACTGCAAGGTACCGTCGGCGTTCTCCAAGAGCGACACCCCAACATCATGGGCAGAGCAATCGACCACAACAGACACTACGGTCGACTACCCGCCACCATGACCAAAGAGCATGCGTCTGGCAATAGGGAAGTCTCTGCATCTCTTCATTATCTTCATCCAAACCCCGAACAGGGTACCCCAGGCCGACACCTCACTTCCGAGCAAGTCGAACGCTCGGCTCGCATGCTCGCATTGGACGACGCCATCGACCAACTTCACGATCCCCTCATCTACGAAGATCGTCAGGTCCTTCGCCGTATCGTGCGGCTGCTGGATATACGCCGCCAAGAGCTCTTGAGGTACCGCATCAGCGTCGACGAGAGTTCGCCGGAGGTTGAGCTGCCTGAGACCGTTGACGACATTGAAGACCTTGCGATGCAAGCCAGTGTCAGTTTCGATTACCCATTTGTTCTCAGCGCTATTGAAGCCATAGATACTCTTGCTCAGAGTGTCTGGTTCTGCAATGATGAAGAACAGGAGTCGAACAAGGAGAATATTCCTCCTGAGCTCATGATGATGTAGAGCATGAAGGCCTGCTGAGGAGGGCAAGCAACACAAGGAAACAGAGCCAGGTGCTCAAGCCCTACAATTCTTGGTGACTACGGGACACAGCAGTCTCATGATATGACGACGAGCATATGAGATACGAGCAATGAGACATGACTAGATGATTAGACGGGGGTTTTGCATCAGGCAACTGGGATCGCTTGGAGTATTGGAGCATTGCATCGGCGTTTGGTCATTACAAAATTTGGAATTCATAGACGCATAATTCTGATGGTTGCGCCTTGCATACGACAAGTTGTATATGAACAGGCTGAACAAAGTGAATGTGTTTCTGAGTTATCAAGTGAATGAGGGAGGTGAAGTTGAAAATACAGCTTGTGAGACATTCACTGAATGAAGAGTGAGTACGTATCTTTGGCAGGGTCCAAGCGCCATTTCCCCTGAGGACCCCGCACTAAGCCTCTTCAGGCAAAGACCGCAGGTAATCCCATCCTGGAAATTGATGCTAATTATTGTTTGCCTATTGTTTTGTGAGGGGACGAGCTTCGCAACCCCGCCAAGTTATCACCAACTCCATCCCAGTGTTCTTGTCCGCAGAGATTCGAACCTCCGGGAGTCAACACAGTTCCAAGTACTGATTATTCTTTGTGATACCCCAAGTCTTCATTCTTTTCCACAAGGTATGAGTTCTCTTTGCCTCTCAATGCATCCCAATATCACCTCATTTAATTTTGCCCCGCCTTAGATTTCACTGACCGCCTCTAGCAGACCGCAGACTCGATTGCAATATGTCAAACAACAAGGTCTATCGTGCCAGCACCACGGCACCTGTCAACATTGCCGTTGTCAAGTGTGTTATACCAAGCTGCAGATGTGTATTCAAAATGTCTCAATACTAACAAACGTAGGTACTGGGGTAAGCGCGACCCGAAGCTCAACCTCCCCACCAACAGCTCCCTCTCCGTCACCCTCTCCCAAGCCGACCTCCGAACCCTGACGACGGCATCCTGCTCCGCCTCCTATCCCGAAGGCGACAGCCTCATCCTTAACGGCGAAGCCTCCGATGTCTCGGGCGCCCGCACACAGGCCTGCTTCCGCGAGCTGCGCGCCCGCCGCGCCGCCCTCGAGGAGAAGACCCCTTCTCTCCCGAAGCTCTCCAAGCTGCCCCTGAAGATCGTCACCGAGAACAACTTCCCCACCGCCGCCGGACTCGCCTCCTCGGCCGCCGGCTTCGCCGCCCTCGTCCGCGCCATCGCCGACCTCTACGAGCTCCCCGAGTCCCCCTCCGAGCTGTCCCTCATCGCGAGACAGGGTTCCGGCTCCGCGTGCCGCAGTCTGTTTGGCGGATACGTCGCGTGGAGAATGGGCGACAAGGCGGACGGCACGGACTCCAAGGCTGACCTTGTCGCCGAGGCGTCGCACTGGCCCGAGATGCGCGCCCTGATCCTGGTCGTCAGCGCGGCCAAGAAGGGCGTCTCGTCGACTTCGGGTATGCAGCAGACGGTCGCGACGTCGGGCCTCTTCAAGCAGCGCGTCGCCGAGGTCGTGCCGAAGCACATGGGTGAGATGGAGGAGGCTATTGCCAAGCGCGACTTCGAAAAGTTTGCCGAAGTCACCATGCGCGACTCCAACTCGTTCCACTCCTCGTGCGCGGATACCTACCCTCCCATCTTTTACATGAACGACGTCTCGCGCGCCGCCATTCGCGCCGTGGAGCAGATCAACGCTGCTGCTGGAAAGACTATTGCTGCGTACACCTTTGACGCCGGCCCGAACGCTGTCATCTACTACCTCGAGGAGAACGCTGCTGCTGTCGTTGGTGCCTTCTCCCCTATCTTGGGATCCGTCGGTGGATGGAAGGAGGGCGCCAAGGATCTCAAGTCCTCTGTGGCCTTGGACGAGACTGTTGCTGGTATCATCCAGAGCGGTGTCAGCCGTGTTATCCAGACTGGCGTTGGTGAGGGCCCGATTAAGTCGGATATTTACCTTGTTGGCGAGGATGGTGAGCCGGTTAAGCGATGATCTGTTTAGTCCATTTTTGGCGGCATCTAAACAAGCTTCAAGTTGCTCAAAAGTTCTCTTTGTGCGTATAGAAACACCTAATTAAATACCATTTCGAATTCCTGCTAGTATTGGCGACTGTGTCGTCAGTGAGACACAGACAATAGTGAATATCTCATGGGTACTCTCTCGCGATTCTAAATGGCATGTGTCGCCAGCTTTGAGTATGCCAGCCGAGCATGGCACAGAGTCTCCAAGCATCTGGACAGGAATTAAATCAAGAACCGGGATTGCAAGAACATCAGCTCGAACTCAGCGCCTTTGAGAGCTTATTTCAGAGAAATTGCTGGTTGACGTATCGCAAGGCAGCATTTCCTCGTCCTGAAAGTTCTCCCTTTTGCTTTCAAGGTCGGACCCACTTTTCTCATTCAACCTCACTCCTGCCTTCCTGCCACATCGCTCTTTCCTTGGCCATCCCTCTGCGAGATTCCTCAAACGAACAACAAACCAGAAAAAGGATGGCAGGAGCCGAGGAGAAAGAAGTCCTCATTGAGGAAAGAGATGGAACCGGAAGAATTACCCACCGCTGGCTGCACAATACTGCCTCACAAAAAATAACACTTGCGCGCCAGTCTCACCAAAACACCATCCCGACTCTCACCACGGCCCTCGCT